CTTGGAAACGTATGCTTCCAAGACCTGTGTGGATAAGCCAGACCGCATAGGAAGCCTGAAGGTAGTGTACACTAATATACGTAGTATCGGGAACAAATTTCACGAGCTAGGTGTATTAGTAGAAGACCTTAGCCCAGGTATTGTGGCCATTACTGAAACATGGCTGGTTTCGGGATTAGATGACACACCTGAGCTATGCGGATTTAGTTGCTTGCGCAGCGACAGAGTTAAGGGTCGTAGAGGTGGCGGGGTTGCTCTGTACATCAACAACTCCCTACATGTTCGTTCCGTGAAATCTGAAGCTCATGACAGTGGGACAGGTGAGGTAATTAGCTGTGAAGTAAGCTTTGCAACCGGCACTCTACTCATTGGAGTTCTGTATAGAAGTCCCTATTGTCAGTGTGATGACTTCATTTTAGATCACCTCAAACAATGGAGTAAACACAGTAGCTGTCTTATTCTAGGTGATTTTAATGCACCTCATATAGACTGGGTAGCTGTCACATCTCCAGGATCCGCTGATAAGTTTGACAGCCGGTTACTCTTGACAACCATGGAAAATGCCCTGACACAACATGTCTTAGGTAGTACAAGATTCGGTTCTACCCAAGGATCTTCCTTGCTGGACTTAGTGCTTACTCATGACAACGACGACGTGGATGGTCTAGTTATTCATCCACCTCTAGCAAACAGTGATCATGGGGTGTTAGATTTTAACTTAAGGGCTGGCAATTTAGTCAGTTTTCAACCCAAATCCCGGCCTAGTGTTTGGCATGCTGACATAGTGGCTATAAAGGAGCGTGCTTCAACTGCCGACTGGTCAGTCAACATTGTCTCATCCATTGAAGATGAATGGGATAGATTTAAGAATACACTTGAGAGGGTTACCACTGATCTCATCCCCTGGAGGGTTCCTAAAAGGCCAACAAATCGGCCACCATGGATAAATAGACAAGCTATAACACTCCTGAGACGGAGAAAAAGGTTCTGGAATCTCTTTGTTTCTACTGGGCTACAGCAGTTCCGGCTGAAATACTGTGAAACCAGAAACCAGTGTAAAACTTTGATCCACCAGTCAAGGATAGCTTACGAAACCCAGTTAGTTAAAAGTTCACCAGGCTGCCCAAAAAGACTCTTCTCATATATCAAGAGAAGAACACGTAAGAGTGATGCTATCCCACCTCTTATGCTTGAAGATGACCAGACAAACATGGCTGAGGATAACTTGACCAAGGCTGAGGCTTTGTCCAAGCACTTTAGTCAAGTATTCTCTGATAATATTGATACCAGCTTTGTAAATTTTCCAGAAGGTAACTTGAAAATGGCACCCTTATACATTGGAAAGGATACTGTCCTAAAGTGGCTTCTAAGGCTCAATCCTGGTAAGTCCAGTGGCCCTGATGAACTCCACCCACGTATATTAACAGCATTGGCTGAAAGCATAGCCGAGCCATTGTCGGTAATCTTCAATATGTCTCTGGACCAGTCTAAATGTCCAAGAGACTGGAAAGATGCCATCATTAGTCCGGTCTTCAAAACCGGATCTAGAAACTTAGTTCAGAACTATCGTCCTGTTAGTTTGACCAGTATTGTTGTTAAACTACTAGAAAGAATAATTCGTGATGCTATCATTCAGTTCATTGAAGGGAACAAACTTTTCGCTGTGGAACAGCACGGTTTTAGAGCAGGTCATTCTTGCTTGACCAACCTTCTTTTGGCCAGAGAAAGTTGGGCAAGCTCAGCTGATGCTAATATACCGGTGGATGCCATATTCATAGACCTTAGCAAGGCGTTTGACAGGGTTTCTCATTCAGGTCTTCTAGTAAAGTTAGGTAGTCTGGGAATCAATAAAGTGGTTACCGACTGGATTCAAGACTTTCTAAAGGACAGAAGACAAAGAGTACGAGTTAACGGGGTTTTATCAACATGGGAATCGGTTAAGAGTGGCGTTCCTCAGGGTACAATTCTAGGCCCACTTCTTTTCCTGATTTATGTTAATGAGATTCCATCGGTAGTTAAGTCATCCTGCTTACTGTTTGCTGATGACATCAAGATATGGAGGGCTTTGCACGATGACAGTGATCAACTTGCTTTGCAGGAAGATTTAAACTTGTTAAGTGATTGGTGTAAGCACTGGGCCTTGGAGATTAACTTAAGCAAGAGTGTAGTTATGCATGTATCCCATAGTCACGTGCACAATTACTCAATGAATGGCATTACTCTCCCAGTGGTCACTGAGTACAAGGACTTGGGAGTGGTTGTGCAGCATGACTTGAAAACAGCAACAAACTGTAGAACTGCAGCCACTAAGGGTTTTCGAATGTTATGGGCCATACGCAAGGCTTTTGCGAACTTTGACGCTGATATATTTCGTATATTATATCCGACTTATATCAGACCTCATTTGGAATATGGGATCCAGGCAGCGAGCCCGTGTTTCAAATACGAAATAGACTTATTAGAAAGGGTGCAAAGAGTAGGAACTAAGCTAATAAAGGGTTTCTCAACCCTGTCATATGAGGAGAGGTTAAGTCGACTGGGTTTATTTCCACTGTCATACAGACGACTTAGGGGTGACCTAATACTAGCATACCGTATCCTAAGAAATGATTTTGGAGCTAATTTATCTAAATTATTTCTTCCTTCTAGCACCAACCAATTGCGAGGACATCACCTCAAGGTTCAAAAACCACGGTCGAATCGTCTGCGTCTGGAAATCCGTTTTTCGCATCGAATTGTGAACCATTGGAACTCCCTACCGGAACATGTCGTATCAGCGCCATCCGTTGATTCATTCAAGGCGAGATTGGACCTCCTGTATGAAATAAATCGAAAGGATTAACACAGGCATATAGCCTACTATCCTAAATAAATTGTAAACTGTAAACTGTAAAGTCGGAAATCTCTCTGAATTAGTAAATGTCGTTCAATGACCAACTTCATGCCGAATAATTCACGATACATTCCGGCAATTACTTAAGAATAAAGGTGTTATGACTACTTTTTTTGTTTTGAAAATCGCGTAATTTATTAAATATTTTGGAGGACAATAGTCATTTGCTCAACGTTCGAATATTTATGCACTCAAATACTGAAATCAACTTGTGTGTGGTTAAAAGTTTTAGTGGAACAAATGAATTTTCAAGTATTGGTTTGTAGGGATTTGACTGACTGGGTGATGGATTTCATCATGAGCTGACATTACTTATAGAACCACTGGAAAACAAGCCACAGGGAGTACTGGACAGCTGTTTCATCGGGCTAGTTCGGGACGCTTCGGTAGCACGCATCTACCGCCAGGGTTCGAACTCAGAACGTTCTGGTTATAAGGCGAGCTCGTAGACCATTCAGCCACTGAATTCCAACTTCTGCCAATTCATGACATCGCACAAACACTAGCCAGCGTCTTTGGCGAGTAATTGTCCTCACGCGCGACCTGCTGTACCCTACTGGTCATGACTTCCCATCAGAACCCCAGGTAACTACCTACCTGAATTTGGCCAGTCACTAGTGAGCTGATGAAGAGTCCTAGACTAGGACGAAACAACTTTCCAGTACTCCTAGGCTTTCTAATGGTTCTGTAACCGATGTCAGCTCATAATGAAATCCTGTACGCAACAAGTGAAGTTGATCAGATCCACAACAATTGGAATGTTTATCCTCAGTACCCTGACTGTCAAACTGAAGTGTCAAAAGTACAGACATTCCCATTGAATTCAAATACTTCATGAAGGACTGCTGAAAGCGTCACCCTATTCAGTCTAAAATAGAATAAATTTTTTTATTCAACAACGAAGGTCTATGTTGACATACTCAAACGACAGATCTTATGTGGTTTAGCAGTCACTAAGTCATATGAAGTTGCACTAAAGACAGTGACTAGCAGATCAACTAAGAACACAGAACCTGGCAATCCTTACTCAGAGAAAACCTTCATTTAGGCGTTGACTTCTTCAGTTGCATATATTTACAATATTTCACTATGATACCTACTGAAAATAATAACGCAATAACTACCTAACTTTATATGTGTCTAAAGATGAGAATATTTGATTCACTCCAAGACCCGAGATATGTAAATCAATATATTACTAACGCGAGTATTACAAACACTTAGAATAGGGTGACAAAATTAAATAGATCCGTGTAATACTATCGTTTGACGCCAAATAATGATGTAATTCACTATCGTTCAGAGTCAGGGAAAAAGTTATTTGTAAGTCAAATGGTAAGAAAAATTATTTCCTTGTCCTACCTATTCGATAACACACATAGTGACAACTCCAAATGAACTCAGTGAAACTAGTTAGACCTTAAATAATTAATCTGAATAAAAGCAGGTTCAATCCGAGTTAACATAGTGCCGAAAGTATTTTTTTTTCTTCTTAATGTTCAACTTATTACCTTCTCTGTTCTTCATGTTGATTAAGCTCTAATAATTCTGATTACTGATATTAGATGGTTAGAGGCAATCGACCACAGGAAGCCATGCTTGGACCTAGGTTTCGAGCTGATTGGCACTCATCAGCAAGGAATATCTGCAACTGCCTTGAAGGAAATCATGTCCCTTCTGAGATTCAAATCTGAATCACCTAGTGCCATCTGTAGTCAGAGACGTTATCACTGAGCTATTCGAGCTTGCGATTGACCTCCTAGTAGGACTGTAGTGGATACTTTGCTGACGAGTGCCAACTAGCATGAAACTCAGGTCCAAGCATGGCTTCCTGTCAATCGCCTTCAACCATCTAATATCATCAAATCAATGTTCATCTTGATGGTGAGCTACTTGGTTGAAAACCTGACTGAAAGAATTCAGTCTGCATCAAAGAAAGGACTAGACACACATCTGACTAGTTACTAGTGTCCAATCAAAATTCTGATTACTGTTCACAAAAAGCGTGTACTAAATTGAATCAAATCAAACGGTTCATGAATTGATTATGGGATGTTTAGATTAAAACACAAAGAATAACTGAATAAAATGCAAAACATCAACTCACCGTATATAATTCTCTCGTAATAAGGTTGATCTTGATAAAGCTGGTTCTATGGCATCATTTGCTGAGTTAAAAAATTTAAGGAAAATGAATAAAATGAATATTTCAGGTAAAAATATATTAAATACAAGGGACCTTTCCTAAAACAACATATCTATCAGCCATGAATAAAAGTTGATTGATTGAAATCACTAATTGCTGACCATTCATTTCATAGACTGTGATTTGAATAGTCTGGTTTCAAAAAAAGTTGTGATGACACTTTCACTCCTCGTACTGTGTACGTGACAAACTGCTAACTGATTTGCAGAACTTTTAATTTGACTTAGGCTGGAGTATACTTCTTGGTATGGTTCTAATTTTAGTATACGTACAGCCGAAGCGACTTTGAAAAGGCCTTCGACAGACTGCGTCGATCGAGAAGTGATTTGGCAACTAGTTCGATACTATGGGGTGCCGCCAGCAATTATACATCTCATTCAACAGTTGCACGACAATGTTGCATGCCAAGTATTCTTCAACGGAAACTCACGGAATCCTCGGAGGTGAAGATGGGAGTAAGACAAGACTGGCTGCCTACTATCGCCAATGTTTTTCCTGATTGCAGTAGATTGGATAATGCGACAGACAGCGTACAATGAGGAAACAGGCGTAAAATGGACCAACACAAAAAACTTGGAGGATCTGGACTTCGCCGATGATATACATCTGATTCCCCACGAACTGAAAGATATGCAAGTGAAAAGCAACAAGTTGGCAGAAGAAGCATCAAAGATAAGAAGAACTTCAGGTGAACATAGAGAAAACAGAGGTGATGAAGTTTCCTGGCCAACACCACCACCACCAACAATAACAGGCAACAATCAGCATAGATGGGAGGAACCTGAAAGAAAAAACCTTCTTTACCTACCTACTCGTGAAGAATCGTTTCAACTACAGGCGGACAGAACTGACGAGGATATCAAAGCCAGAATCGGAAAAGCAAGACAAGCTTTCATTACTCTCAAGTCTGTGTGGGGATCAATAGCACTCAGCATCAAAAATAACATCCGGATTTTCAACTCGAATGGGAAGTCAGTGCTACTATAAGGATCAGAGACTTGGCCAGCGTGTCACGAACGGCACTTCGAACAAACTACAGACTTTCATTAACAGCTGTCTTTGCTTAATACTACTCAAGATCAGATGGACGGCCAGAAAAGATCATCAACAGGGATCTCTGGCAGTGAGCGAACCAACCAGGGACCGATTGCGCAACAAATATGCAGCAAAAAATGGAGGCGGATTGGCTGTACTCTGAGAACATAAGCCATCATCAAGTAACATCACACACCAGGCCACTGCTCGACTGGAACCCTAACGGGAAGCAGCGAGTTGGTCGTCACTGAGAGGGTGACATGGAGGAGGTCATGCGAAGAGGAGAAGAAAGCATGTGGACAGACGCGCACCAGGCAATAACGTTGGCAGAGAACCGAATGCAATGGAGATGTGCGGCTAAAGCCCTAAAATTTGTCTAGGAACTCACCCTGAAGGCTAGTGAGTGGATAACTTGGGCCACATGACATCGTGATCTATCGAAAATCAGTAAGCTTCATTCTTCCTGATCACAGCACAAGAAATAAATATTTTATAACCTGTTAAACACAAAGTGAACTGTAGATTAATTAAATAACTACTTGAACATATTCTAGAGTATACCTCAAATTTTACAATTCTTGGAGTTCAATATTTGTAAGACCTAGAGTGGTGAGAGCTGTCTGCTAGCCAAAATTCGTAGACAGTAATTTGCGTCAATGTTCATGTCCCAAATATTGGTCATGAGAGAAAAAAATAAAAATAAAGACTAACTTAACAACCAATCACAGCAGACTTTGCGTGGGCGGATACGACTAGCAGATATACGATCTGACCTTCAAAGAAACGGCGACAAGGAGATGACCGAATAACTTCCAGTGAGAAAACAACCAATCAGAAGATGTTGTTTCTCTGCTAATAATAACCAATAATAATAATATACATAAAAATATATAAGTATCTCTTGATTTCCTCAATAAACGATCCGTTGCCTGGTCCTTGTCTTCTGTCGTTACACTGGTACCAAGAGAAATTTAATGATTATTGAATTGAATTTTTGATTTTCCCGTCGATTGTTTGGACCGAAGTGCTCGGTCTCAGGTTGACATGTCGGCTTCTTGTGCGGATGCTTCAACCATGTCTGGGCATTTAATTAGTATACAATTGGTGGATGGTGGATAGCAGTGGAATCCAGGATGCGCATTTCGGTGGGAACGTCATCACTCACTGAGAAATGCAGGTACATCCAGATGACGAGTCCCAAATAGGACGAAATGCGCATCCTGGATTCCACTGCTAGCCACCATCCACCAAGAGAAATTTAATGATTATTTGTTATGATGAACTCACTAACTACTTGTCTTGTTGCAGACTGAGTCCTGTTTTCATTCTTCTTTATCTTTTGACTTTGTAGCATTTGACGATCAGCTGAACAAGCTCGTTCACTTGTTCGTAATTTAAATGATTTAGGTTTAGTTGGTTCTGGTGGTGGTTTCCATAAACGTCGGAGAGTTTTACACGACTTCCAATGTAGCTGTTTAAAATCTGGAGCTGGATGATAATATTGATATTGCTTTTTTCCTGTCTCAGCATTATCTAGATCCAATACACCTAGAAATAAATCAGCATTCACAAGAAGTATAGATTATATATTTTTAAGACTGGATATGGGCAAGAGTAAACAATAGACACCAAAGTTAAATGACCTTGATTGAACCAGTCAGATAGCTCAGAATTATAAATGGTTCCTAGTCATAACCCTCTTTGAAAGTGTCGCCTAGATTTAGTTTTTGACTCCTCTGTAGATAATGTGTTCATAGGGAGGAATAAAACATGAATGTGTGGATGGATAATAACTCTGGAAAAGTATTGCTGTCGATGGTTGTACATTCAGATGCAACCACTTTATATGAGGAAGTCTGTATAAGTTGGTAAGTCGTACATAACCGATGATTTTTCAGACACTTTCTTCTCGAAATCAAAGCTATCCCTTAGTAATATATTGCGTATATGCAACCAGTGTCTGCTGCAGCTGGAGAAATAGAGAATACATTGGTTTGATATGTCCATTACCACTTCTATCAGAATCTGGGACCAGTTTTAGAATTAGAGATACATACCCCATATGATTCATTTTTATTACGTATATCGTAAATACACTTCTTTGTAAATTAAGTAACACTTTTCACCAAGAAGAATCTGATTGGCTGTTTCAAGTTCGTCTGAAGTTGGTGACTATTCTTGACTGTTGCCTGGATATGTTTAAATGGCGTCGCAAGGCACAGCGGTAGAATGCTCGCCAACCACGCCTCATGTGGTCTGGAGTTCGATTCCCGGCAACCGACGCACTCTTTTACCTCGCTAAGCCAGCAGTAAGACTGGTAAAGACGGAAGGTTGGGCATGAAGCTATCAACCCCATCCTATAAAAAATAAACACCACTGCTACCGAGACTTGAAGCCCTATTTTCCACTGGGAACGTAGAAGAATTAAAAAGTAATTTTTTCAATGTTTAAATGAGATGAAATGCTTCCTTGGTAGAATGTATAGCAGTTTGCTGAACCTACCTATTGCTATTCTAGACTAAATTGCTTCCAGTCTTAATCAGGAGTTATCATTCACTCAACAACATTTAAGGTGTATGACGCAACAATTGCAGGACAGTTATTTACCAAAATGTGATGAAATTTTAGTCATTTGTCGTTATCTCCATGATAGGAAACGTATAGCATTCAGTGTTCTATCCATTTTGACGGACAAACTGTTCAAGATGCTGCAATCAATCAATTATTCATCCGTCAGATTACAGTGCAAAAGTGTTGTGAATTATTCAATGTTTACCGAGAACTATTCACATTACTATGTTTCACTGGCACTTGTAGTTTTATGAGTACAAATTTAATTCAATTTCAGATTTTCCGTCGATTGATTTGACTGAAGTGCTTGGTCTCAGGTTCAAATGTCGGCTTCTTGTGCAGATACTTCGACGATGTCTGGGCATTTAATTAGAATTTAATTGGTGGATAGTGACTAGCAATGGAATCCAGGATGAAGTGCATTTCGTCCTGTTTGAGACTCGTCAGCCGGATGTGCCTGCATTTCCCAGCGAATGACGATGTTCCCACCGAGGCTCGAACCCAGTGCCCATAGTTTCAAACGCCACCATCCACCAATTGAATTCTAATTAAATGCCCAGACATCGTCGAAGTATCTGCACAAGAAGCCGACAGACATGTTAATCTGACACCAAGCACTTCGGTCCAATCAATCGACGGAAAAATCGAAAATTAAATTAAATTAATATGACCTGTTGCACAAGAGGTGGTTCTCGTGGCCCAAGTGGTCTAGCTGATAACGCTTTGGCGTTTGAAACTATGGAGCGTTGGGTTTGAGTCTCTGTGGGAGCATCATCACTCGCTGATTGGGGAATGCAGGTACATCCAGCGAGTTGACGAGTCCCGAATAGGATGAAATGCACGTTATCCTGGATTCCACTGCTAGTCACCATCCACCAATTAAATTATGAGTACAAAGACTAATAAATTAAATTCCAACCCAAATGAGTGAAACAAGCGTCGTAAACTCAGATGATTAGAACAAAGTACTTCAACAGAATTGATTAAGATGCAGCAAAACAAGTGGTACAGGTATCAAACACTTATAACACCCTGATCTTATTGATAAAACTTCACTCTGATGCGGATAACCAGTGAATAACACCATATGTGAATGCATAAGAAAGTGATATTTCAACCAGAGAACACAGTGAAACTTACTAATTCTGTTCAGCCTTTTATCCCTAGCTTTCCTTTCTAATTTACGCATATTCATAAGATGTTGACGTTCTTCCATACCAGGTGGTAAAGATGCTGACTGTAAGAGTCTTTGTGCGCGTAGTTGACGTTTAACCTCGTTTAACAATGAATCCTCTTGCATACGCTCAAATCTATTTTCATATAATTGTGATGGTAACTTTAAAGGATCTATAGATTTATCATTTTTAAACTGTGACGGAGTTTGTTTTCTATGCAACCATTTATCTTTATCCCGACTGAAACTGAATAAGAAGAAAGAATACAAAATTTAAAGAAAAAAATACCACACTCACTTCTCTGAGACGGTCTGACTGACTGGTTACAGGATTTCATAATGAGGTGACATCAATTAGAAAACCATTGGAAAACCAGCAGATAGTACTGGACAGACTTGTATCGGGTCCCTATGGCCTAATGGTCTACGAGCTCGCTAGCCTTGTAACCAGAATGGCGTAGGTTCGAACCCTGAGGGTGGGTGCCTACTACTGATGCAGAGTCCCAAACTAGGCTGATGAAACAGTGGGCTGTCCAGTACTCCCTGCTTGCTTTCCAATGGTTCTCTAATCGATGTCAGCTGATGATGAATTCCCGTGACCAATCAATCAAATTCCTACAAACCAATATATGAAAGTCTAAATGACATTTGAAGACTAATCATGACTTTAGAACTGCTTCGGTGAATAGGGGACCTTGTCTCACCTCATGCAACATTAAGTCCAATGGGGTTTCATTTAATCAGGCTTCAGTTACCTAAGATAAATTTCGGCAGCTATTCTTTGAAAGTAAATCTTGTTATGAAACGATATAAGCCACAAAAATACTGAAAGTTAAAGAACACTGGATACCTACATGGCCCTACCTTGAGAAGATATAGTAGTGCGTGGTACTCATTCCATGAAAATTCAAATCAGACTTCATAAAGCTACGGAGCTAAGCAAATCACCCATTTAGCCACCGTTCAATTTTTATCAGCCTGACTGATTCATTGTGCATTTCATTCACAGTTGAATTCCTGCCATAGGCGTTTTCTCTCACCTATTAACTATGAAACAATATTCACCTAAGAAGTTCTTTATAAAACATTCATTAGTGATTTGAAAAACAATATGGCAACAGTATAATTCAGATTAAAGTCGTTCATGCGTAACAGTAGTTTAGTGAAATCTAAATGATATGAAAACGTAAATGGACTGTGCTTCATCGTTGATGTTTTTCTCCATTCAGCCAACAAGTATTTCTATCATGTTTCCCGGTATCCGCTCGCATGAAGTACGAAATCTGCTTTGTGTCACATCTAGCTAACAAACTTTACCTACTTGTCAATGCATCTAAAATTATAAATTACGTAATACTCAACGGCACAAAGGAAGAAAGTTTTCGAAATCTGACAAGGCTAAAATTGTTATTGAGTCAGAAGAGAAAGATGGTAGTTTGAGTGTCCACTTAACAAGTGCGAAGAGGGTGAGAAAATGTATAAAGGGAACATGTGAGAGTGATAACAGTAAACTAATTACTAGGGTAAAATCCAACTAATCACTAAGATAAAATTAAAAAATTAAAATTATAGAGAACAACTGATGAAGAGGCTGAGACGATGGTAGAATAATAGACTGAACAAACTTTTTCTGTATACATAGTTCGGGGTTGTATTGACAGGTTACCAACGCCTCTACCATACACAAAAGTCAAAACCTAACGTCTTTTGTACCATTTGGCCTCACATTCTAGATAAGCTTGGTATAAGACTCAGGTGGAACTTCGTGGCTTCAGTTTACCAAGTGCTCAAGAATTCAGCTAGTGGCTAACCATACTGGATAATGTTCAGAGATGCGTTTATAAAGTGTGCGCTTTATGCAGCCAGTATAAATGGCTCCACAAGAATAGATGAATTTATAAACACACAAGGAAGTGGTTCAAAATGGCATTTTATCCTTCACACATCCATTGATCACTTGTCAGCTGTAGAAATCGATTCGTAGCTCATCCGAAAAGAAAAATTCTCTCAGTGTTCTGGATAAGCAGGGAGTTCTTCAGAATCGAAGCCACGGTTGCACCTTTAAGTCGAAAGTTCATAAATAGCAGTTTCTTCTACACCATCTGATTCTTTTAAGCTTTTGCTTTACTTTCATGTTTTTCTTTAAGGAATCTTGAAGGATATCCATTATCTGTCTGTCTGTCTGTTTTCGACATAGAACTTTGCACAAATGTGCGGAAGTTCAAGTCGCCACACTCCGTGTAGCACGTGAAGCAAGAGAAGAAAGTACAAGAAAAGCATAATAGAAACAGTGAGCAGAGGTGTGAGACAAACGAGTAATAAAGAAATACAAAACAGTTTCATTGGAGATCATAAGTCACAGGGACTGGATGCATCTGCGCCACTGAGAACGATTTTGAGCCATGTCACCAATTGTTTCCAACCATAGATTTTTACCGTCCCGAGGACCCCAGCCTGGAAGTCTACACCTTCCTACGTGGCTTAGACCAACTGTTGTGGATTTCATTGACTGGTGCCAAGTTTTTGTTTGACCGCCGCTAGCTTTTTTCCAGTCTGACCCTATATCCGCCAACATTGCTCGTCGAGGGAGGCGATGGCTTGGCATACGTAACACATGTCCTAACCATCTCAGTCGATGTAGCTTCACGACTTCGTCGATTGATTTCCCCTGTTTACCTAGAACTCTACGCCTAACCTCCATGTTGCTCACCTTATTATGCCACTTTACACGGGAAATAGAACGCAGGCACCTATGATCAAAGACAGCTAGTCTTTTCATGTCTTCCACTCTGAGTGGCCAGGTCTCACAACCATAAAGGAGGACGGAGCGGACTGATGAGCAGTACACCCACCCTTTGGTCGATAGTCGAATATCTCGTCTACGCCAGAGTCGGCGTAAACTAACAAATGCAAAACGAGCCCCTTGTATTCGTGCTGAGATTTCGTCAGAGATCAGCCCGTTGGGGCTGATGGTACTTCCCAAATAAGTGAAGCGGTCAACGTGCTCTACCACTTCACTTCCTATTTTAAAACTAGGCGGCGATGTAGTCCAGTCCTGTAACATCATCTTGCATTTGGCGGGAGCGAATCGCATGCCAAACATTCGTAGATTGCGGCTCAAGGTGTTTAGAAGACTCTGCATTTCGTCAGCGTCTTCGCCTAGAAGGACTATATCGTCTGCATATTCCAAGTCAACGAGATTATTCCCCGGTAGCAAGTCAATTCCTGAGTCGCTGAAGTCACCTAGAGTTAAGTCCATTATCTATGAGGAATTGTCTGAGTTGTTATATTTCGCTATCAATTGTATCACCGGTACATATCCTTCTCATTCTTGAGGATAAGGAGTGCATCAGATTTCTCCTTCTTCTCAAAGGGATCCAATTATGAAAATTTGTGTACAGCCTTTGAAGGTGATTTCGTCTGAATTGTCATTTATTCTCTTTATAACTCAGTGGTCATTTTCGAAGATTATAAGTTATTTTCTCAATGTTTAGTGGTCGTTAGCAAACAGTGTAATGAAGTTCTAACTCTTTTATCAAAACAGATTATAATTCGGCTTAGAGAATAATACTAGTAATAATTAACCAGTTAATAATTTGATAGTATTTAACCTTATAATAGATAAAAGTTCTTCATGTCAAAGAATTTTCCACGCTGGACGTTCACACTTCCTACGACTCAATTTCTCTTACTCCATAGAAGAATTTGTGTAAGACTGAAAACTAAGTAACTGATGCAACTCTTGAATCAGTAACTATAAGCGGATACTTTAGTTCATCACTTATACAAGTCTTCAAAACACAAATGTCTTAGTACTGTGGTTTGAGAGTATCTATCCGCTAATGATTTATGTCAAAATTCATAGTTTAACTAGTTGCCTGATTAACAGATAGAAGCAGATCTTTGTACAGACGTATATCATTTCAAGTTATCACACTCTGAAGAACCAGACAAAGTAAAAGAAAGGCATTCGTGACACTACAATAAACAAAAATGGTTGTGGGAAGGAGAATAACTTAATAAGAAGGTTACTCTCCAAGATTTGGAAGATAAAAAGGATTAGATACAGGAACGCCAGTCTGATCAGTTTTAAGTGACATCACCAACTGTCAATCCTTAGTGTCTGAGTACTTTGCCTCCCCAAGAGGCTAAAATCAACATCATAGCTTGGTATTGTGTTTTAATCTGACCACTTCAGACTTCTTTCCGACTTTTTCCTATTTAACGCTACATTGCTAGTTGAGGTAGGTTTTTGACTCGGTGTAAGTAATGCAATCCCCAGGAGTCTCAACAGATAAAGTTTCACGGCCTTATGTACAGACTTCGCATCTTTACCTAACCTCACTATTACTAATAACGGGGCTTCATCAAATGCGAGCAATTAAGGAAAGATATCCATAGTTAAGACCTGAATTCATAGCCTTTACTTTCAGCATTTGTGTCTCAAGGAAGAAACCGCCAGCACACATGCTTTTAGATGAACAACCAGAAAGTATACACGTGCTAGAGATTATTCCAGTCGGAAGATGCCCAATAAGCCTTCTATTTAACTAAGTATATTTCATCAGTAAAGCAACCAACATAACTGGGACGCGTTAACGTCAAATTTGCTAGCCACTATTTCTTTCATGAAACAGCAAAGTTTTAGTTGTCATATTACAACAGTCAATATCCTAGTAGAGTGTCGATTATGTTTTACTCTCTCAAATCAGAACAGAATAAACACTCAGTTGAAAAATACTTTAAAATGTATCCCTTACTCATTTTGTTCTCTTTTTAGATTTTCTCTAATAGTAAAAGTAAACGGCTTCTCAGTTGCCTTTAAAATTTCCTTGCTATACGCTTTAACAGCTTCACGTCTTAGTGCATTTTTCTCCATTATTTTTTCATAAAGTGGTAAGTACACGTGTGAAGGGACTGGCTTAGCTTTAAACTGAGTGTTGCACTCCTTATCACCATCTTTCTGGACAACACTAGACGCAGGTATTTCATTTTCGTACTGTGAATTCTTGCTTTGTTTTAGGGCTTCCTCTCGTCTTGTCATCGCAAAAGGTTCTGGTATAGTAATGTGATGCCTCCAAGAGGAACATGATGTGTTGCAGTCATGTTCAACATCATTATTGTCATCATCGCCAAAATTTGTCCTATTTTCACTAGTCCCTACAACAACAAAGCAATTTAATATTTTGAATAAAATTTAAAAGTTGAAACAAATAACACTATGTATAGTAACATTCAAAGTGTGTCACAAAGTTACATCACAATGTCTTTCCAAGCAAATATAAGGGTTGGTTTACTGTTATCGTTCCGCATCAACATGCTTGCTTGTAAAACATGTATTGGTTATGTGATAATGTGCTTAACATTCGCACATCGTAAGTAATCAAACAAAGGCATTTTACAGTCGCATTAGACAGATGCTTTCATTTCAACTAAGACTGTACAGACACTGGAGATTTCTCAGTTTCGTTCATAAGGCATTTTAGATACATAGCAAATAAGGAAATATCACCAGTTCACAAATAATTTCGTGAATGAAAACGGCTCCCACTTGATATCTATAAATTGTACCAGTGACAAGGTATCAATCTGAAGTGATATAAGGCCCCGGTAGTTTATTGTTCCAGAACAAAAGTTGCTCCACTTAGTTAATAGCACCCATACAAACTTTTGTTTCGGACTGATGAATATCAGAGTGCATATTCTGGAGAGTTTTCCATCACCAACACTGACTTTTAAAGTGAAAATGTTAGAAATGTACACAGATGTATTTTATTATTGCCACCGATTCAATGAAAGATGCAATATAAGTTCAGAAATGACCTAAAAACCTTGAATATGAAATACATCATCAAACTCTGTCTACCAATTAAAACTAGGGTTATTTTAACTTTTCAGGTCACTTTAAGCGTAGCTGATCATTGACGCCACTCAATGTAGTAACAGTTGAAATTCCCAGGTAGCTTAGGTAAATATATTACCTTTATTCATACTTTTGGGCTAAAATTAGCTAACTCTCTGAATACCTTCCAAAAAGTGATTGCTAGCAAAATAAGCATAATAAACACACAATAAAGGAACTAAAGCATCTCATTTAATTTGTTTTTAAAACCAACGAACGAAAAGTTAGTGTGAAGGTAAAACTAAAGCAGTGGAAATTATATCGCTTGGATACCTATTTCTTACTATAAAAAATAAAGCTTATTCAAATTACTAAATTAACTCTATTTCAATAATTACTTTACATATCACTTTGCGGATTCCCACCGACATATGTAGAATCAGTATTTGGCAAAATATTGAGCTTCATTAATTAAAATACTTAGTTTCGCAATATTTCCTTTTACTTACCAACCCCAGTAAAACGTAGAGTGTTCAAGTAGTATCTTCTTCATTCCTTGCGTTTCGAGCGGAACTTAGGGTTTCAAGCCCTTGAAGTTTCGAGAGCGGTGATGTTGGTTTTCAGCAGTGGGGCAGTTGGCCTCACACCCTCCTTTCCTCCGTCACTAGTTTACTGTCAGATAATAAACTAGGAAAGTTATAAGCGTTGATCGACCAGGATTTGCCCCGGAGCAATCATATGGTCCGTGAGCACTCTACCACTGAAACTCCAATGCACTTGAGGATTATGAATTGTTTCCAATTAACACACTTTACTTTCTTGGAAATCTCGACAGGGAAGATAGGTAGAAAGACAAGGAAAAGTGACTGGTAGTCCACAGAGTCACAAAGTCTCTGTTCAGGTGAAAGCAGCAATTTTGCCTGGCGCATAAGTTACAACTCCCCCTGTGAGAGTTATCTTCCAATTAAGACTATTGATTAACTTAATAAGTGGTGACAGTCGTGATATGAATTCTCTAAAGTCATAAGAATTGTAACGAAGAATCATCTGTATATGCGAGCAATCTCAGAAAAGAAGAGAATGTAACTAAGTAAATGCTTTTAAAACAAAGACACTTAAAAATCCTCATTGTACTCTCCTGAAATGGTTTTCACATTACGAATTCAAAGCCTAACAAAATAGAATAATTACAACAAAAACCATCACAAACGAGACGATCTTACCTGTTCTTATTACTTCACAGCAGTTAACTTCGGGCTTAAAACTGTGACATTTATTTACCTGAGGAAGAAACATATGACTTCGGTCGTGTTCATAGTAATCCTCTTGTTGTACTAAATTATTAGTTCGACAAATATCCTTGGGGCTGAATTATTATTTTGCGCCTAAGAATTTCCAGTAGTTTGCCTACCTGTCAGGAGGACTTCGATTCTCTTCATTTGAGGCTACTTCTTCCGAAATATTATCTCCCTTCTGCAAGTCCTCAGTGAATTTACTTGAGCTTAAATATAGCTGCTCAATTATATCAAGAGTATCTCTATGCTCATTTTTCAAATCAGTTAGCTTTGTATAAAACTCTTCATCACTCATATCATTGTCTGTCAGTAATCGAATTTTTTCTTGGGTCTCGTTTAATAGTTTATCTAAAAATGAAGCCGTTTCCCCTAAGTCCCCATTTGTTATTGAAAGTATGTTGGCTAGTATACATTTCGCATTGCTACTTAATTCTCTGAATGTCGTACTTTCCCTGACGAAACCATCATCAACAGACACATTATATCGTGTTAAAGTTCCAGTCATGAATATATTTGACAGACCGCCTGTAAACAAAGTTGTTGCGCTGCTTTGGAAGGCGATGAAAGTTGATGCATTAAAAGTATTATATTTATGTCTGCACACCAGATATAAAACATTCAGGAAGAGTCTGTTTTGCGAAACCAATCATTTTATTTCACGAATCAATAAAAGAATAGACCACATAATAATAAAACGTCTGAAGAAACTGACATACTTGCAGCTGCTATCCATTGCTTCTAATTAATCCTGTGCGCTGAACATGTGGTTAAATTTTGACACAACTATCACAAATAACAAAGATTTGAAATAAATGTTTCAGTCGGGGTCTAAGTACCCTATGCTTGTTCAAGCAGATCGCAATCAATGGATAGATGAGTTCTCCCTTGGATGACGTCTTTATAAACATTGTAGCGGTAAATAATTCCCTTTGAAACATTATATAATTGACGGTTTTCCTTCATTCGGCTTATTATTTCGTCAGTATCAACTAGAACCATGATACTCAGGTAGCCTGAATGCTGTAAAGGCATCCTCTAGCTGAGACTTGACATAATAATGCCAGAAGTTTAATGTGAGACTAACAACTATCAAATTTGCTGTAATCTGTGAGTAAACCAATGCTTTATTCGGAAAACCTGAGGAATAAACCTGTTTTTTCTCTTACACATAGGTGAACTGCGGTAACTGTTTGCTCTATTTCCCAAGCACTACGGTGGTTCTTCACAGCCTTATGCAGAGTCACACGAGATATATCCATCTGTTCTAAATAATCAATAGAAGTTATGCTACCTTCTTGCGTGGCTTTATAAGTAATACTTCAATAATTTTGAGTAGGCCTATAGGTCACTAACAGATGAACACTTACAGCCAATACGTAAATAATACGAACGCCGCTAAAATTCACGTTGACGAAACATATCAAATCCTCCAAACGAATTACTACTACTAGCACAATACTGCAACCCCCTGTCCCACTGCTAGAAGTTATCAGTTCTAAATTCCACCGGGTGGCTTCAGATCGCAATTGACATGATTATTGCGCAAACGGAAAACAGGATGAAACCAACTTGTGAACTTCCCAATCCTCACAGTTATCACTGACAGTATATTCCCTGATATTCCCCCCTTATTAAAACATGTTTTTCTCCCAAGACTTTATCTGCTTTGAAAACATGTAAAGATTATCTCATTACACTGTAAGTGGAAAAAAGAACACCATGAACGTGAAAATTAAATATTTCATCCATAATTTTTAAATACATATAGCGAGAATGGTATAGTAATCACGAAAGATTTGTACAATACAGTGGGCATTTGATTAAGGATAATTAACAAAAAACTCAAGCTGTCTGTGATAGTTCCAAGAAGGAGGGTCACTATTCTGTAGTAAATAATACACAATGACTGATTAATTAGCCCCAGATCCGCTTATACCACATTCATCTTATATTGTCACAAAAATGCCAGTCTCTGAAGAAAGTTCCACGGGCGTTTTTACAAATCTTGTTTGCTGGGCCGTTGTGGTTGACTACTATATACATCAGTGGATTTTACTGACGAATTCCAAGTAGATTTTCAATATAAGAAAATTGCTGTATCTTAAAACTTATCCGCATCATTGTCATATTTTTCAGCAACGGTGGCAATGCAATAAAATTTGTAGTTTGGCACAACTTTAAAAACTTGATATTTCTGTCCAACTGAGAATTTGTTTTTAAAATGGGTAAGAGCCAACATTTATGCCTTTGAAAGGGTATAAAAATGATCACACACATCATCATGGACTCAAACGAACCCATCCACATCATTCCACACTTTAGATAGTGGTCTAGAAATATTTCCGTAGTTTTGCAACCCGGTAAATCTAACCCATCTTCTCGCTCGAATTATGGAAAATGTTGAGAAGAGGTCTATACCAATCTTCTACAACACACACACACCAAAATCTCAAGACATGAAAACTTGTCCATAAAGGTTTGCAGTTCTACGTGCTTTGAACACGAAAGTGCGTTGTAAGCCACGTCTCGTAAACCATTAATGCCCAGCTCTTGCTACACTGGGGCTCACGCTGTTCCTTGAAGTTTCTCAGAAACGATTAGTAATAACGGACGAAAAAACCAAAACACCGACTGGCCACTCGAGAATTCTTTATTGTAAAACTAACATATAGCCAACTTTAAAATTAAGCTGTAAAACTAAGGTTTCTGACGGCTTTTTCCTAACTTCTTTCTGAACAGCGACCGATGAGACAAGGACTGTCGTATTGATGCCTCCGCGAAAATTGGGGAAGTTGGTTTGAGCAAACAACCATGAATTGATCGTTCAATCGTCAACTACATTGACACTCCCCGGCAAAAAACGGATCCATCCATTTTTTCCATCACGACCAATGCACGTTGACTTGGATGCCATTGCGAGAACCTGGGTCACACGGACAGAGCTGAAATGGAAAACAAACAGAAAAGCCAACACACCACAAGTATACCCACAGCACAATCTCACACATCACTGACGACCTGCGCCTTTAGTTAAAGCTATCATCTTGACATCTTGCAACACAACCGCCACTTGCTAGAATGACCCTTGCAGAATGCAACGTGACCATAGCAGCACCTCATGATACTCTACGCACATCCTCTTATCCACTCACTATCAATTACCACTGCGATCGCTTGTCACTCATTCCGCCTTAGTTCTAGTAACGGTGACGTATGCGAGCCTCAGTCGTTTACACTACCGCTCCCCGGGGGTGTTGGACCGCACCCAACAATTATCTCCGTATGCATTTCATTCTCAGCAATAGCCTCCCCGGCGTATGCGACCCATCTGCTGTCTTTTACATCAATCAATTCATTCACGAATTTAGAAGACAAGAACCAACTTCAGAGGTAATCAAGACGAAAATTCTAAAAAAACTACGCAATAAAAACAAGCTACGAGGACAACGAGTAAACACAATGAATCCAAAAAACGCCAATCGACATGACACACCACAAATATATACAAAAACAACACAAAGTCCCAGATCGTGTCTCGATGGAATTACCTTGAAGAATCGCAGGACTTACACCAGTACGCCTACAACCCTTCTCAGGTTGACGCCGTAGGTCGGAAAATCGCCGCAGAGTTCATTCACTGACTTCCTGCTATCAGCTATATCCTCAAATCTCAACGGTAATACGCTCATGTCATTGTATCGTAGAATATAGATGACGAACAAACACAAGACGTATCTGGTCAACTAAGTGTAAAAACAGAGTAATTTACACCAACGATAATAACATTCAAATAGTAACTTAAAACTAGAAATGCCTTTATTCATCCAAGTCAATTTAACAATCAGCCTCTCGTACACACTTGGCTTATCCTCACTAAACTGACTATTGATATTCGTCCTTTCAAACGAACTGATACTAGCATAGTCATTGCACAAGATACTTGAGTTGATGGGCGTCCTTCTCATTGTGGATGACAACACCAGCGACGACTGATTGATACCAGTTGATGAACTTAGCGGTGGATCAGAAGCTGTTGTTGTTCGACTTTTAGAATGTTGTCTAACTGCGAGACTACCACCACTGCTGTCTTTTACTATCAGCTCCGGTTTAGCACTAGCATCTGATGATAGGTGGGCTTCACTCTGATCAATCACACTGACGGTTTGACAAGTATGCATGCCTTCTGCAACTGCGTCTGCATTTAACTCTACTTCACGTTCAAGTTGTACAGAACCTTTGTTCAACTCAGCAGTAGTGGGCATATCCCTCATCTCATCATGATCAACCAAAGACAAATGTGCACTGTCATGATCAGTATCACGAATATTCACTTTACCGTCAATTTCATCATTTTCAAACTCTTTAATAACAGAAGTAGACAATTTGGGTTCCTCCCCATAAATCATTAAATGCTTCATATCTTCACTTTGACTAGTTATACGTTGTAAACCTTTGGAGTCAGAACTGCGCTCTGAAGCAGTAACTCTATTCTGTGACACTCTATTCAACAATGGCTTACCAGTTGCAATTACAGACTTCTTCACCGCACCGTTATCGTCACACAATTCGGAGTCAGACGTTGATTTCACATTTAGCTTATCACTAAACTTGCTCACTGATTCACAGCTCACCTTTGTATGCACCTCTTGCACACGTGTAAAACACAACCGTGTTTGTCTTGCATCTTGTAACTTATCTGTTGAGGATGTACTACGAAACCTGTTACACTCACTAGGTCCATATGCATTACTAGACATCATGGAGCCTTCTCGATATCCACCTCTCTGAGGCCCTTTCGTCATCAATGATTGCATTTTACCCTCAGACTGCTCTATTCTAGGGGTGAGATGTAATAGACTGGCGAACTTGCTCCTAGATAGACTGATGCATTCTTTTACTAGTTTCAGGATATCATCAAATTTTGGCTCGATACCTTCATCCTCCATACGGGAGCTTATCTTCACCCACTTCCTTTGCAGTCGAGTAGGTAGGCGTCTTGCTATTACTTCTAGGATAAAACTCGAGTTGAGGTCACTCATGCAATTCATCGAAATCAAGGTATTCTTATAAGTCATAAGATTATCTAAAAACTCAGTAAGTGCCTTGGAGTCATCTTGTAGTTGACTGCCGTTACCTTTGACAGCTTCGTATACGTTCTTTACAATCATTGAAGGTCTTCCAAACCTTTGACGTAATATGCTCATAGCCTCAGCGTATCCCTCATTAGGGGGCATGAGCTCACAGCACTGTATAGCTCTTGAAGCATCTCCAGTGCAATACCTCATCAAATACATCCATTTCATTTCATCACTTAATAAAAAACTACTCAGCATGATCTCAAACTCCTTTACAAATTGTAAATAATCAGCCAGGTTTCCATCAAAACACCGTGGTTCAAATCTGGGGAGTTTGATGTTCCTATTATCCCTGAACGGCAAAACAGTAACATCAACCATGTCATGCCCAACATCAGACACATCGTTACAAGTAACAGACAAGTCACCATGACTTACTTTCCTGTTTGCATCCAAGACATTCTGTCCCTTCTTTGACCCAGGCATTGTTGAACTTGGCTCAATTCCAAAAACGTTCCAGATATTGCTTGTTCAAAGAGGACTTGACCGGCACCAGGAAAGATGAACG